TCTCACGTACGGCTCTGAAAAAATTTTTGGGGGGGAAATTCACTAACTCGGGAACCAGAAAAGCTGAAATTTTAACAGAATGTTCCTTTTCCAAGTGCACGTGGTAGTTGTACGATTAACTTCTCGAATTTCGAGGACTAGTATGTCATAAATTTTAGCTATTGTGATCCCAAACGATCTTACAACAGTACGAAATACTACAAAAAAGCATGATTGCACGGGCCTGCCTGGTACAAGTCGCCAATGATTTTTGGATAGAGCCACGTCCGACATTTCGAAATTGCTGCAGTCTTAGATGACGATTGAAATTCGCACGAGTATTCACTTACCGGCAACGTTTTCAAATTCGTTATCAAATTCGCGCAGTTCCTCATTTGCTTGTTCGATTTGCTCATTTACACCATCCAATCTGATGGAAAACCGAAATTAAGTATAATTGAAAGCTTATTTAATTGCAAATCGAAAATATATCTCTCTAATCTTCAAACTGTTTTCAAAAATTGGCTCATAACTTTGCCAAAGCAGGGCTGCGGCAGACCCTTTTTCTTTTTCCGGGAATTATGTGGCAAGTGCTGAAGCGTGCGGTGTAGTGACCAGTAGTGCTTCTACTACGGTCAAGGGTTCTAATCAACCAATCTATTTACAGTTCGTTTTGTTCATCCGTTCCGACAGTAAATGCTGGCTCACGTCGGGGACCCGAAGCGTGTTCAAACTGATGTAAAACAACTCTCCAGAAAAAGGATCGTTGATAGCTTTTTCAACGAATGGATGATGCCGATGCGTTCTACCAATGGACTTACGCTGATGTGTCCCCACTTCTACACAAAGTGAATAACAAAGAAAGCGTTTTTTGTTGCAAGTATCTTTGACGTGTCCGGATACGCAACACAAGAAAATGCCAAAGCTCATTTGCGTCTACATACCTATTAATGGAAAACAAATATTCTCATATGTTAAGGCACCCTAAGCAGCTAATTTTCCTAGTTAACATTTTGCCAACGACATCTTAATTTTAATTTTGATGTGCTTGTGCATGCGACGTAGGGGTCCGATAAAAAGGAAACTGAAGCCTCTAACTCACAAAAAGGACATAGAACAATCCTGTTAATTTCCATCTGTCTTGTTTGGTCTCCAAAATCGCTTTTGCCCCAAAGTATTTACATATTTAGTTATGGGCCTGAGAACCAAACGTGCTTGAATGATAATATTAAAACAGGGGGGTCGCACATGGGATGGGAGCGTGCTCCAAAAGTTTCCACATATCAGCTTCTGTAGTTGCTGAGCTGAAAACGGTTGACAAAATGCGAATACACAGACACACACACGCAGCCATACATACATTTACACACATTGCCTCCTGCCAATACGCTTTTTCCAACCGCATAAGCATGATACATAATGATTCAAATTAGGAAAGTC